TGCAGGCTGAACAAGGATTCAGAGGGTGAGGTGCTCCACAAACGAATCCTCATTACTCCCCCTAAATACCAGCCGTGACTCCTGCTAAATGCCCATCCTCGTGAAACACCTGAAAGAAGGCGGCATCGCTTGCCCAGAGTTACACGATGTTAAAGGCAGACCCGGGATTCGAATTTAAAGCTCTGGCCCTTGATCCAAAAGCAGAGGGCGCCAGAAATTGGCTTCCATTCCAAAGAATTACAATAATCACGACTAAGAACCAATGACCAGTGAAAAAATATTTTGACAGAATAACACTGCGTCTTTATGAGTAAAAAAATCTATCTCACAGAATCATAATAATAATATCTGAACAAGAAAGATTTCACATCTGAAATTAACAGGCCTTGGCAATTCATTTCATCTCTGAGGCAAATAGTTCTATCTAGGGGACAGGGATACGACTCCAGCTGTCCACCCATACTGGTCGAGTTTGCCTACAATTGTGAGGCTAGCCTACTCTTGTTTGGAGATGCAAGACTGAAGCTGAACAGAACTGAATCTGCAGAGCGAACAGACTGCCATCATCTTACCTGTATAAACTCAACGTCCCCAAAGAACCGGTCCACGGGCATTGGCTGGTTGCTGTCTTCGTCCAAGAGAGCACTGCTGTCTAGTCGGAGCGGCTTCTTTGGGAGATCTCCGTCCTCGGAGCTAGACCCATCTGAAAGCACGCTCTCACAGCTGCTCTCCTCTTCACTGCAGGCATGACTGCGCACATTTTCAGCGCTGTCCATTTCTGATGGACCACTGCTCGAGCTCACTGCACGTGGCTTGAGAGGAACATTACGTTCCTTTTCCTGTTTGTCTTCGTTAGCCTCTGGAATGCTTTCACCTTTCTTCTGTTGAATTACACTGCAGTCTCCTGGATCTTCTGAACGTCGATCCTCATCGGATGTTTTAGGCGTTTCCCCCAGCGCAGCAAGGTTTTCGCTTCCACATGCAAGTCCTTTGAGTTCTGATTTTACTAGACTGTTTTTTTCATGCTTTAGCCTCTTTGAGGGTTGTCCGTCGGCCGCTTTGCATGAAGAACACTGTTAGGAAAAAAAAAAAAAAAGATCCTAAAGCTTACTTGAAATAAAGAAATGTAAAATTGCCACATCTCTTTAGCTGCAAGGGTGGATGTGGAACTGAAGGACTCCATCAAGCGAGCAGCATCTCGATTCTTATTCGCTAAGAAGAATAATCAGTAGAAAGTGCACATGAAAAGAAGAAAAGAGGAGCAGGCAGCTTACGCTGAACCATGACGTACAGTCCATCACCAGCAGAAAGCTACTTCTCAAAGCATCAACTAGCGCCGGACACGGCTATCCCCCATTTTCCTATTTTCTTAGGGATGCTGCGGCTGGCCATTGATGCAGCAGAGCGGACAGCAAAGCGTCCCGCTGCTTGCCAGCGGCAGCGCACCCGCGAACAGCCCTCCGCCCGCATTTAGACCGTAATGAACCCCAGAGCCGGCCCTGCGGCACGCCAAGAGGCCCCCACGCTGTTTCTGCACACAGGCGTCTGACAAAGCGGCGGGAAGGGCGGAAAGGCGAAGAGTTTACTTAAATCCTCCAGGCGATTCCCTCATGGCGATGCTGTTCGCAGCTGTTCATAATCAGCTGCTCCCCCCCAGGCTCTCACTGCCGGCCCCCGGCCCTCT